CACCCCGAACATTTTCCTAGTACAATTCCCGACCCCCAGCTAGCCTTTGCAGGCTCTCCAGTCTTTCGTTCGTCTCGTGCCCCCTGTCTTCTTTCCGAACAGACTCCCTCTTATATCATGGATAAGCGATTTCGCTACGCTGTACATATAACTGTGGCTGGGAAACTCTCCCTAAACTAGCTAGCTTCACGGCCTCACTGCCCTGGCTGTCTCTACCGCATCGAAAGGATTGCCTTCGGGACGCAAGCGAACCAACGCGTCATATTCTCGGCACTCGTCGTATGCATACAACCGGTTACATTCACTGAAGTAGATAGGAGAACCAAGAGACAGGCAGGAAGTCCAACGACATAGCGACTCAGATATTTGAATACAAATATGTAGATGCATGGATGTAGCGTAATAGACCGGCAGCAATAATTAAGATGGCAGAAGATACTAGTACCATTACAGGCTCATGTTTTGTTGCTATCGTCGTAAAGGTTCACTCGTATGAAGACGTTCATTTTACAGTGTTAAAGTGTCATTACGGAAAAAGAACCACTATTACATATAATTAGTACACGCTGGATTGCTATGTAAACTGGCGCAGCCATCCGTGCCTACACTCCGTGCTCTCCATGTTACTGTTATCCGTTGGCGTAAATCTTCAGCAATGCCGCTTGAGCTCTCGAAGTAAGCTGCCAGCCCTCGTACGTAACTATAGCCTATGGACTCAAACAAATTAAGTCATTCGATCACACTTCTTCATAGTATACACACTGTAATAGGTTAACGCGTAATGAGACGGAATAGTTCGGCTGCTACCTCAGTATCGCGCATACAAGCATCTCCCTATGCAAGACTTTTATACAGCCCTGCGAACCTACACGACCGATGGCAACCGCTGAAGCAGCAGCAGAAGCGCGCAGATTACTCAGATCTTTGTCAACAACGCACCTTCGCTGTTCACATCAGTTCGTATGAGCGGTGTTTGGGCTTTTTTCGATTTTTTTTAACACAGCCTTATAGTGTTTGGCTCACAATGTGATGGGATCGGATATATTTGGCAAACTCGTTTTCTATTCGTCGCGTCGCACACCTAAGTACAAACATATCGACAGACAGTCAATCTGATTGTCGTCGTCCTACTTCGCTTCGATGCTGTCGTTGTTGCTGTTGTTGTCATTGACACCAATTCGAGTCAGCTCTCTGTCTCTACGGAGTTCAATTTGATGAGCGTAATTCGTTGGAATGACGAGATACTTGCTCACCTCGCTTGCTTTGTCCTGTCTGCCGCCTCGCGCAGGCTTCGCTTTATACCGCTACTGGCGTTGTTGACGTAAAACAAATTGTAGGACTGGTGGAACGGCAAAGCTGGAGGCCAACAAGTTATTGTTATCGCCATCCAAGCGGGACATGATCCACCACGGTAGACCGTAAACTCTACAAAGGCTACGTCTGTGCCTGTTAGACCCGTGAACCTTTCAAGGGGCGGAAGCGGGTCCTGGCGCAAGGGATGATAAGACGCGTCCACAGCTATGTAGCAGTCGCGGCGGCAGTAGCAACAGCAACAACAGAGATAGCTACAACGAATGCGTTTTTGCGTAGACAACAGAGAGAGTGTGTGTGTGTGTGAGAGAGAAAGAGCAGGAGAGAGGGGGGAAATAGGCTAAAAAGAGAAATAGAAATATAGGCTGGAGTGATCCCGACCCCTTACAATCACCCCAGGACCGACCACGGGCGGGTTATACGGAAGCGACAACAACCCGCCAACAGGCAGATTTATATAGATGCTTGTATGCGTAAAAGCAACCTACATCGTGGCCAAGCCAAGAGAGACAAAAAATAAACCCGCCTGAGTACATCCATCGTATATACGTACATGATGTTACTAGGACAGAAGTCCCGCCTCCCAGCGAACGACCCGGCTGGCAAGGGGTTACACTCAGTCTTCGCCAGTTTGTATAGCTACAGCTTAGGGGAACTCGTGGGAGGTCGCGGCAGCTTAAAAGTCTCAGGGCCATAGGACCGAAGGCAGACCGTAGATTTGCGTCGTAGGGTTGTGTGGTCGCAGCGCGTTGTGCCAATGCGACGATAGTGGCACGGCTCAGCACTTTGATACCAGCGATGTAGGCCTTACAGGTACTGTAGTTCGCTTGTTGGTCCTGCACTTGCTGCGTCTGCTGCCGCTGCTGGCCTTATATTCCTGTTGCTAACCTCAAAAGAACGGCTCAGCGCGAGGCAAATAAAGCCGCTTGGTTGGCCGATTCCCCATTGGCCAAATCACGTTAGACCGTGCGATCGCAGGAGCAATACTCAGAGTAAAGGTTCGAGCATGTACAGGTGTACGTCGGATCGAGTAGCTTGCCTCTCGTAGTTGGGTATGTCACTCGTGTTGCGGTGAAAGGTTGGAGCAAACGTTCCCGAGACGTCAAATCACAACAAGGCGAACGCTGTTGGCAGACCAGATAGCGATCGAAAACTGGTTACCTGAGCGGCCTAGCGTCCGTCCCAAAGGAATTGATTGTCGGGTCAATCCGATTCTCCCTGGTTTTTGAAAGGCTCTTCTGAGTAGCACCAGTAGCAACAATACCAGTAGCCGAAGGCAGCTTACGAGTGGGTTGGGCTGCCAAATGCCGCTGCGACCCAATCACTCTGCCTTCATCAGCGGTGTGTACACTTTCTATATTTTTCTTATATCAGAAATTTCGCGATTCGCTTTTATTATTATTATTATTATTATCTAGCTGTTCGCAGTATAAAGTAGAAATTCGCGGTAGTGCGAAATACGGATACAAATGACCCAACGTTTATACAGCACTTCGCGTCGGGATACAGTTTTTGCAGCTAATCTTGTTTTGACCAATATATTGTACAGGCATCTGCATATGCGCGTTTATTCCATAGTGACAACGATTACGTACGATCACATTTGAGATCATCCTTAAGATTTTAGCCGCGTACAAATATATCATACGTGTTTTTGCTTCTTCCAAACGTCACGTCACGTCACGGAACGGGTATTTATATAATCCGCCAAAAACACATCCTCTTCCTTCACGTTCCAGTCTACGGCGAGATGCCAGCCTTCTGACATCCATGTTCAACACGGCCCACCTTCCTCCGTATCGGATTATTTTTATTTCCTAATCTTGCAGTAGGGATCAAGCTGTTCGTGTTATTGGCCAACAGTCACATATTAAGCAGAATAGTCAGCTGTTCAGCGCCGTTTCATAGTACTATCGTTACAAAGGGTTGCTGTTAGTTCTACCGTTTCATTGTCTACTCGTACGAGACCTGCTCTCATAGAGACGATCATGAATTGGCCCTCACTGCAGCATCACCCCTCATACCGATATCATTTGCCGCGTTTGTCAGCGCATCAAGACAGGCGATAATCACACGAATACTATTATATCATACCCCGTGTCACTAGGATCATTGTTATAGAATGTATGATACATCTGACATTTTTCACCTTAGTTAAGTGGTTCTTGCTTTCGTCTCCATTGTTCTTGTTTTGTTACCATTGTCATCACTTTGATGATGGATGTTCAACTCAGCCTGACGAGGCAGTAATAAAAGCAAATCTAGTAGAATATCTTCCATCAACCTTCCCAAATTCTGCCGACTGAGCCAAACTACTGGTGGATCATCTATTTCACTTTCGCTACTGTTTACGTTTCTCATTTTGTGTCGATCGGCTACTATGTAGCACCCCCCCCTGACCTGCTTGCTTGTCTTCCTTCACTGACCCATACCCCGCCTCAAGCCAGTACCAGCGGACGGCAATGTGGGCAAGGCAAGCACCGTTAAGCAAAGCAACCCATGGATACCGCTACTGCAATAGACTATAGTCTGCTGCCGTTACAACAGCAGCAGCAGCAGCAACAAACGGAGTCGGCTATGGCCGGATTCATGGGATTTAGACGCAGAGCCCATCTTGGGCAGCAGGCAAGCCTACATCCAGATGACTTCGGCGGACGACGAAGTCAGTGGCATCAGTGCGCGTTGAGCTGAACCAGCGGTGGCTTCCAGGCAAAAAGGCTGACCGAGCCTAAGGCACCTAGATTTTTACGAAGAGAAACGCGGCTGTAAGGTGCCGCCGGATCTGTCTCTTGGCCATCCAGAAAAGAGCTGCGCAGCCCTGCGACTGATCAACCGACAGCCGACGAAGCGACGCACACAGGATGGCAGCAGTCAGACAGGAACCCAACAGCAACTACAGCAAAAGCTGTGTGAGGGCGTAAGGGACGAAACTTGCTTGCATGGTCCATGGCCAGCTTGTGAGCGTCCTGTCGAGCGCCGGAGTGAAGCCGACACCAAGACTGAACCCACAGCAGCGGCTAGCTAATCGACGTGGAAGGGAAAGCAAGCGACATAATCTCTTCATCTTTCCATGTTCGTTTTAATCCCCTCGAACCAGCAGTAATGCCGGAGCGAGCTTCAACGGCAGAAACCTGGAGCTCTTTGCCAACTCTGCAGGGACTCAGCAATGTCTAGCTGGGCACCAATGTTATAATGTTACAGGGCCGCTTTTTGGTAGCACTATGATCACAGCTGGTGGGGTAGTGTCCAGGCGGTCACCCTAATAGTGTCAGCAGAAGTGCAAGTGCTCGGGCAAAACGCTGATAAGCATCCGATCTTTGTTCTGGAACTACATCTGGCAGACTTGACCTAGTGGTACTAGTATGGATGGGACCGTAAGCTAAATGGCATAAGTACTGGACGACCGTTATGTTAGCTCTGTCTGTACTCCAATGCGCACCAACTGCTCACTTCCAACCGTTACTATTTGTTTAGATGAAAATAAAAAGAAAAAAACGGGACTTAAGTGGAGGAGAACAAAGAGAGGTATGTGGAAATCAGATTTAATTGCAATGATAACTTCGTTTATTTGTCAGCTTCCGTTTCTGCTACGTATTGGTTTTATAAAGCTTCAGCTCTTCATAGATATATTATGCGTTTAGCATCTTCTCTTTCTGTGTCAAGTGCTTAACATCGGGGGGCAAACGTACCTTTAGCTGGTGCGGTCGTTTCACTGTAAACGCCGAGTTTTTCGAGGGCTATCGGCACGAGATTGATGAGTGGAGTATTCGCAGGAACGATAGCGTAACCATCGGTCACGACGCGATTCTCAACGTGCGCGAAAGCTGTAGCGGGCTGCGTCGAGTGAACGGGCGAGTCCCGCCAGCCCTCGGTCGCGCTATTGCTCAGCTCGACGATGCAGTGAACAGGAACTGCTGGCTTACCTGCAACGCATAACATTCAATAAGAACGCCGAGAATCAACGAGACAGATAAGAAGTTAGACAACGACGTAAGGTACTTGTCGCAGCGACGGCTAGCCGTTCTAAGGGTTGTTCAGGGGCCAGCCAAGGAATCATTAGTTTGTTCCATCGCGCACCTTCGTCTTTATCATCTCCCCCCCCCCCCCCCCCCGCATTGTTTTTTGATTTTTTCTACATTCTCTTTCTTTCAGGGACTCTCAGTAGCTTGTCGTCACAGAACCGCAGTTTTTCCTTGAAGGCTATGGAAGCTCCGCCCGACTCGAACTGACGCCGCTTCGTTTGTTGGTTCCAATGAATGACGCCGTTTTAGCATATATATATATATATATAACAATACAGGGTCTGCTGGCACGACTTCCTACCATTACAACACGGCCTGCTTGCTACTGCCGCTAACTAAAGGTGACGAAGATAAGAATCGTTGTGGGGGGGCAGCATAGTAAAATGAACTCGACAGACTTGCAGAGGAAAACTACATAGACGGGAATTAGAAAGCAGCAGGACGAGAGTTAGGTAGAACAGACACATTTAGCACTCAGAGGACATCGACACACCAACAACTTCCAACTAAGTAAGTGAACGAACGAAGGCCCAATGAAATATTCGTGCCTTCACCTCTCCTTTGAAAACTCCATCTTTACTCTCTACGTATGACCCCGACTAGCCGACTCCGTTGGTTCGTTCGGCCAACCTGCTCTTGTCCTCCTGTGCCCCTTCGTTTTTCCCCCGGCAGCGAGTGAGCAAATTAGCTCGAGTAAACGCCATGAAAATATGAAAAAGTACTATTCATTGGCTTTCTTTACTCGAACGAGACGAAAGGAGAACGACAGCGCGACCAGTGAGCTAGCGTCTACCATTGAGATGATGGCGCCGAAAGTGTTGCCTCCAGTTGGGTGTTTCTGTCTACTTAGGATCTGTACAATTTTTCTCGGCAAGTCTTTTCTGCCGAGTTGAGTTCGAAGCACGCGTTTCTTGTTGATTGGTAACGACACTAACCGAGATGGATGTGATGTTCGCGTAGCGCGCGAATGCACCGAAACGATCGTGTTGGCGATGACCAGATTCACTGCGTCGCTTAAGTCACACAGATAGTGCAAAGCATACCGATTAGAGTCCGGCCTACTGGGAAAGTCTACGAAAGGGCAAAGTGTTTACGACAAAGCGCCTGCGTTTTCTCTTAAAGTAATGGGCACATTTGGTTGGCAATTGCCTCCCTCATTGCCGTTGTCGGTGTCACAGGCCAACGCCAAGGAACGCCTCATCGAACGAGCTCCTGATTTCTTCTCGTTCCAGCTGTTCTCGTCATCCACTCAAAATCTCGAGAAGACACCCCAAAGTGCCGTTACTGCCACGTCCCCAATGGAGGATAAAAACTAATTCGGATTACGATTTAGGACAGCAGAGGTGTTCTACTTCTTAAAAGTAGGAGCTGTCATATTCGATCGTGGCGCTAATAGTAAACGATGTTTGGTTTACTAAGTGAGAACAAAGAATTTTGCATTGGAGAAAAGGGGGATAGGTTAGCGTGCAATGTTGGCTTGACTGACGGGTTAGACATTCAGGCGAGAGTTGCGTCGTTTCTAAGGCGTCGCTGCTAATGTACGGTAATGTCGGGTTCGACGTCGCTACAGCGACAGGACACGGGCTATGACCGTGCCATTTCTAAGATTCTCAGATTAATATGCGCAATTACTACCTACTTGTCCGCTGTCGTAGTGCATAACCTATCTTCAGTTGCCTACCTAGGCTGGCCGTATACATATATATATACACGGCTATATATATATATATATATGTCTATTGCTATCTAGATAAAGTGGAACAGGTGATATAGAGGGTATGTACACACTATGTATGCCTAGACAGCGTGTCAATCATATTTTGGATTATGACTCACTCGTCGCACGATATTGTTAGGCTACGGATTTTATATATGGTGAGGGGATTTATGTTATGCGTAAAGAAGTATCATCAACTCCTTTCATTTGTTTCTCATTTCCTGTTTTCATCGATGTATCTATCATGCTTAGCCCGGATAGATAGGTCTGTGTACTTATGATCTATATCCGTGTATCGTACAGGTTCCCTTTTTGAATCATCATTTAGCTACAAGCCCAAGAAGACTTGTTCGCAAGCAATTAGCCTCTATGAATCTAGCTTTATTCTTCTGAAGCACTGAAGGAACCTGCAAGCCATCGTTTGCTTGCCCGCCGGCATGATGCAGCCACTGGACGCCTCCCCGACGGCATCTATTGTATCCATATGCATAAAGGGCTGTTTTTTGTTGGGGAAATAAATTGAGCCTAACAAAAAATGTAGCAATGCACTTGAACTCTAACAACAAATTAACCTTCGCCGTGACCCTTTACGACCTTTTCCCATCCCTTGACCAATAATTTAGTTAGAACGTTTCTTCAGTATGGTCAGCTTCGTTCATTTTATGCTACTCGGCAATATCCAGATCATTATTGAGCGTCTTATTTTTGCCAAACATTTGCCAATGTTTCGGAACTCTCCGAGTTTCACCAAGCGCAAATCATAGTTTTTCAAGGACGGAAATCTGGCTCAATTTTGGGCTTAGGCGGATTTCCTTCATGTCAACTTGTGGAGACCTGACACTGTGACTGCGTGACGTTCAGTGCCGAGTGAAATGTTCAAAGACAATTAATTATTATAATTAAACCTATAATAGGACCTGAATCTCCTACACGACTAGTTATATATGTAATTATAAATTTCGCTACTATAATAAAATAACTAGACAACAAGTAGTTAGTCCTAGAAGATCCCATCCTAATAGTATAATTATTTAGTATATATGGACTTATGCTTTTGAATAAGTCTCATATCTTCAAGATGCTTGACGTTCCCGTTCAAGTCACGAGTTGTTTGTCAGTTGTCCTCGGATGGCTGGACTGCATCCTCCAGACAAGTTTTCGACCTCAGCAGAAGGTCAGGTAAAAAGTAGGTGCCAGATCTGTTGACTGAATGAATGCATGCTTTTTTAACCAATATCCATTTTTAGAGTTCGAGCTTGAAATAACATTTCGTTCTATGTAAAATGAAATTAGGACGGGGCCATGCTGTGACAGAGCGAATAGTTTCAAGTATAAACAACAATAGCCAACCTGATATCTATGAATGAGCAAGCAAATGGCGTCCTTTATTATCAATTTGTATCTTTCGTGTTTCGCTTCCATTTATGTTTACTATTAAATCATCGGCACGGTACCGGCATAAATACGAAAAGTGGTAAATCGGTTGATTGTTGTTGCTCTATGATAAGAAAATGATTATGATGCGTGCTCTCGGCCTACCACACGCGGTCAATAATTCTCTTTCGGCTGAAGGATTACATGAACCGGCGTGCGTGATCGGTACTGTAGACCAGCCGATAACAGCAACGCTGTTGTTTTCGTACGCGAACTACAAAGCTGCTGTTGAACTTGTTCCAAGCACGAACGCAGCACTTCGAGAGGGAGCCTCGAGGACGCCCCATTGACTCAAAATGAACTTCGCCGTGAAGCGTTGGACGACACTTCTTGTCGCGTAGAACTAGTTACTTTCGCTGCTGTTCTTTGGCTTTCCCTGTGTCCGCGCAGGTCCGACTCTGCTCGGCCCCCACTTAGTAGATGCGCCTATCACCATATGGGTACGGAGGGCTCAGCTGCAAAGGTACACTCATTTAACCGCCATGCCGCCGATAGCGCCAGAAGTTGCTCGATGCCAGGTAACTTATTGTAGAGCGATTCGCTAGCACCGGGCCAGCGCGCGACTTCTCCTCGACCGAGTAGTGCTGCCCGCTTTCAACTATTCATGGGAAGGACCGGCAGATATGTAGGCTGGCAAAGGCCGAGAGTGCAAATGATGAAAAAAGCTGGTGGGATAATCTGAGTCACATCGAGGTCCGCTGAATGAGACGGGGTGATGCAAATAGCACTAGAGAGTTAGCGGCAAAAGCGACCAGCGATAACAGCCTGCTGTGAAGTCCTTGGGGTTTATAACCTCAATCCTCTACGAACAGGCATAGTTGAGTGAGGCAAACTGTAGTGATGTGGTTGAATTTGCATCTTTCACTAAAGATTTTACTTCTTCCTCTGCGAATCCTCAGCTGTAGCGTAGCTGCTAACGCCGGTAGAGTAGCTGACGTCTGTGAGTTATTCGAACTCGTTCAAGTACTGCTGTTGCCCAACTTGTGGAGAGGTTTGATGTCATCCACAGTCCATTGTGCTGTAGCCCGTCCTTACCTTTCATCTTGTTTTGCTTCTACTGCTACCATTTGCTGCTGCTGACCTCAAGAAAGCGAGCGGGGCCTATTGTGATTCAAATACCGGCGGTGGTTGAGGTCGGTATTATTACAGTTCCTGCCACTGGTCAAAGTCAGCTAACAACACATCTCAACCAATGGCAGCGGTGACGCTGGAGGGAGTTACGGCGGAGGGGCAGGGACACGACACTGAAGCGCCAATAACAACGACAACTACTTGGTTGCTGGAGTCGACGCGGGCAGACCGCCATCAGCCGAAGCTACTGCCACGCTACAAAGCCAAATTGGAACTCAAGTACTTGAGTCGAATTTCGTATACAAGAGACGGTGAAAGCGAGAGAGTGGGAAACACAATGTGGGTGCGAAAGATAAGGGAAAAATGTTCAGTCGTCGCAGCAGCTTGAATGAGTTTATCAGCTAGTTGTCTCTAATCAAACACTGCATCGTTGATATAACCGAAATGTTAAGTAAACTCTTGATAATCTGATATAGCGACATAGACTCGAATGCGTCTTACAGATGATTGAGCGGTGTCCTTATCCAACTCACATAGGGTATCGACGCACGCGTGCCTGTAACGCACTTTGACAAGAGTAGGTACATGTTTTATTTCTGAATGAAATCTGCTGAACGAAAAATCACTGCCGCCATATAGAGATACGCGCGATTTTATAGTTCATGTAATAATTAAGCTT